CAAAGAAAACTTAAATATCGAGGATAACACAGAAGAAAAATGGTTGTAACTGCGACTACTTGGACGCACGGGCGTGTGCGACTGGAAGGTTTTAAGTGTCAGAAAGTCTGCAAGCGCTCATTGCGAATATGAATGACCTTGCAACAATTGGCCTTGAACAAAGACGCCGGACAGCGCAGCGTAGGGCGTCAGCTACGGGCTAATGAGCCAGAAATGTCCACTTCAGTCTCCCTATTTTTTTAATCATGCTCGTCTGCCTACTATACTAGCCATTATGCGGCTGTTGGTAGGAGTCGAAAGTGGCCCCGAGGCAAAATTGGACGTGTTAAACACCAAACCGGTCGGTGAGCGTTCATCTGCCAAAAGTAATATTCCCAAGTAATACTTGTGGTTCAATGAGCTAGAACTTTTGACTTCTAGTCCACAGCTCACGGTTTGACCCTAGCCTGCAGCCCCACGTGGGGTCGGATATGGCTGTGGAAGTCCTATTATCTGGTCACTCCTCAGCTATCTGTGTGATAGGTTATAGACGGGCGACGGCTCAGGCGGTGTTACCCATGCTCGCCTCATACTTCTCATTTTAGTACTGAGCTGTGCCCTCTTCTCTCGCTCACTATCCACTTTAGTGGAGATCCAACTCCGCAGGTCACGCAATGTTTCCCTCCCGAGGTGTGATACAAATGCTCGTTTTTCCCTTTGTTCTATTGCCCTGCCGCACTTTCTCAGGCATTCATTAATGAGAGTGCTTAATTGGCGTTTAATGCAGCCCCTGCCGACCGCCTGACCAAAATCAGTTCTAGCTGTGGTCTTTCAGAAACACTGCTGGGGGTAAGGTTTACCTGTGGGAGCCTGCTGCGTTGACTCATCCTCCCTTCACCAGCTTGCACTTTGTGCACCCGCACGTGATGAACTCCCCCGAATCTTCTTTGTCACGCGCTTCAAGAGGCCCGCGATGCCCTGCGTTTCCCACGCTCTGGCTCTACTGGCTTCCCGACGCGTACGTTACTTCGAACCAATCGATGCGCGCCGTGCAACCTGCTTGGCTAAGGACACACTCCACACTCAGGGATTCGCAGCAGCGGACACACCCGGTGTGCAGACGCAGCTGGCTAGTAACATGGCCTTTGTACCGTTCATTTTCCGGCAGTAAAGCTCTGTCAACCAAAGCCGTCTTCCCTGAATTGTGATTTGGGGATCGTTCTGTTGTCTATACAACCACCAGCTTTCGACGTACCCTCACACAGTTGTGTAGAAAGGTCAATCGTTCGTGTGTAGGCCCCTGCATACAGGAAAATATTCGATGATGTCGTGCTCGGCAAAGAATTTTCCGTCCGGAATTATCATGTATATAGGCGAAAATACTGAACACGTAGGGAGTCTAAGCCGTGGATGCGTTCAAAGCACTACAATAATCACGTCCTGTTCAGTATAGGAAGAAAAGGGGGAAAACAGTAGGAGTTATTGGGTTATTTATTCATTATGTACTGAAATTCTGTGTTGAGCAGAGGCCCCCGACGCACGACAAGCCCTAGGCCTGCGCTAGGCCTGTTCGCTAGCGTGAATGCGTAAACGTTATGCGAGAGTGAGTCAATGGCTGCTTGATCAGGTGCTTGGCCAATAGCAGTTTGTGGTACCTGCGATTGGCCGTCCCAGAGGCAAACCGACAGCTGCAATCACGTGACCTCTAACTTGGCGTGGCGCCGGAGGTAAAAGGCACTACAACCCCTGTTAACACGTCCAAACGCCCACATTTCCCGATTATTCTTGTTGTCCGTTGCAAGCACCATCTGGCCCGGGTGGAACAATTGTTGCTTTGCACAGTGTCGTCGGTTGAATCGCCTTTCCATTGACGTCGGACGGGCCGATTCATCAACAACACCGGCAGATGACAGCGGACGGAGGACGTCAAATGGTGTCTGAAGCTTTCTCTGCATCAAAGCTTCTGCATGGAGCGCAGTGTTTGGGGAGTTAGAGATTGCAGTGGCTCGATATTACCGCGGAAATAGTTAGAGAACTTCTTCCGTCGCCCCTCCCATTTTGAGTTCTGGAGAGCCCGATTGAAAGTGTCGACGAATCGCTCGACCTGTCCATTGGACTGTGGGGGATATGGCGAACGCATGTGGTTAATGCCGAGCCGCTTGCGGAACTGGGTGAAGGCGGCTGATGTAACCTGCTCTCCATTATCCCGCAGCAAGGTTTCGGGACAACCGAATTTGCTGAACGGTCGCAAAAGAGTGTTGACCATAGCTCCGGCTGTCGTGCGTTCCGTGAGGATGACTTACAGCCATTTGCTGTATGCGTCAACAGTAAGAAGGAAATTCTGGTCATTTAGGGGCCCAGTATAATCGATGTGGACCCTGGACCATGGGGCTTTGGGGGTTGGCCTGCCGGGCAGTGGTCTTCCTCCTGCCCTCGTTTATGGCATTTGTGACAAACGTGCTTCTTGAATGGACAGGAGCGAAAGAAATGCCAGTCACCACACTGCCAGCATGCTGATGATGGCTTTCTGAGTGTGGGGTCTTGGGGCTTCTGTAGGGATATTGAATTCGTGCAGGTGACAGCCTGAACGCCGGTGGCGGCAAACAAGGAACTGGGACGCTCCGCGGTTGGCAGTACTGGCGAGCGTCAGAAAACCGCCTGCCTCGTTTTTCAACAGTTTGAGGCACTAGTATCGAATATTGAACAAAGAGGATTTATCGCCGAAGGTCTCGGACAGGCGCTGGACGGTTTCGTCGAAGGTGAAGTCACGGGGGTTTCTCGGCAGAAGCACGTCCATGTACCGTTCGTGCTCCTTGGTGCCCAATTTCCGTAGTAGGAGGTGCCCCTTCCATGCATCCTCAGCCTTGGCAAACTTCATACGGAAGATGGTTTCCCTGTAAGAGTATGAATTGGGGCCTCGGAAGGGTGCTTATATATTATAATCATCTACTTACAAATTACAAGTAGGTTGAGTGTTCCAATATCTCCAGTTTTTCACGCACCGGCCATTGGTCTAATAGGGATTGGATGATGACAACGAACTGCGGAGGGGTCTTCGGAAGGCCATTATGTACATTTGCCGCAAAGACGATGGTGGCCTAAAAACTAAAGTGTTCAGGAAAGCA